ATGGCGGTTTATGGTTTCCATTCAAATAAAGAAATATTCAACACACACATACGTTTAAGCATATTTATCCTTTGATTAAACACATTTTAACTCATCCAGAGGCATTTTGAATGACTGATCGAAAAAGAAAAAAAACATTGATTTTCATAAAAAGAAGAAATTTTGGCATTGTGAAAAATATTTAGTAACTTTTCTCTGATATTTATAATATCGTATGAATAACAACCCATCAATATTTTTATATATCTATAGATATATTTATATTACATTAACATGCTCTCGTCCTGAATATGCAAATTATTTGCCGCTGGACGTTAAGCAGCCATCCATTATTAGCATCACCATCTGTGCATCAGTACACTTTAGCAACGTTTCTGGGACCGTGATACGTTTGATTAGTTTTATTTTAAGATGTAACGTAAGAATAGTGATACAAAAATGATAACTGAGTAAAGATACTTTAAAAAGAATTGGTTTATTTATCATGTTGATATTGCGAAAAAGGTCTCTTTGATATATATAAAACAGCTGAAACAATCTAGATTTCGATAGGTTGTATTACCACAGTTGATCAAAACACGTGTGGAGCAAATTATCTGGTAAATAGGGGACTTGGCACAAAGTACAAACAAGTAATTTACATCAGAGGTGTTGTTAGTAAAGTAATGTTTAAACAGTCTCTGTCTCTGAACTAGATTTGTATATAATAGATCAAGGCGGATATCTAAATTAGGATGCTAGGAATATGGCTGTCTTGATAATGAAGCAACTGGTTGTATATCCTGTTTTGTTCGTTTACATACACATTTTAACAACGCATGTTTATTAAGAAAACACTTGAAAATTTTTGCACGATATATATTCTAAATTCAACACTGATGAATAAACAGCAGACATGTGTAAAAGAGATAAAAAGTACAAGCTGAAAGAAGGATTCCATAGCTAAGCGTACGTTTTTTGTTTTTTTTTATAGTAAAGACCTGTACATGTATCTAAGTCGGTGTAGAGACCCATCATAATGAGACAACTCTTCACAAGGAGTCCTTTTTCAATTTTAATAATTTTGGGAGCTTTCAAATTCTAGATTTATGAAGTTTTTTTTTGGGGGGGGGGGGGGGAGGGGGGGGGGGGGTAATATATTTGCCTTGATAATTCTTAGATTAAATTATTTAGAGATGTACTTCCTACATTTTGGGGGAGTGGTTGAGCACATAATTTGTTTTTTTTTTTATGGGTATTTTGTCTTCTTCTGGTGAGCCTCTGTTTAGCAAATTTTGTTAAATTATCTTATTCACCCTGTGGTGCTATTTTCCCCACGTTCATTCCTAAATTCATATATCGCACGGAAATTTGTGTTTTTCATGTGTCTATGCATGCAGTGCAATCATCCTTGATGGGCAAAAATAGAGGCGAAACTCCATCATAATCACATTCACGGCATTCTTGATTCAGAAGAACTCAACAGTCAAATTAAAGGATCCCTCAAAAGTAATAAATTCAGAAAATAAAAATTATGAATGAAGCAGTTTGATATCAATATATCTTAAAAAGTTTCCATGAGTACTCATCAAAAATTGAAAGGGTAATTAGATACTTCTTGCAGAAGCAAAAGTTGATTTAGCCATTACTCAATTTCAAATGACATCAACATGTCGCTTACAGTTTCCTTTATAATTGATTTAGACTATCAAGAGTTATTTTAAGCATCATTAATTTTGTAGATATGCAAATAAACCTAGAGTATTTTTTTTAAGTTTCCAATTTGACTTTTGTGGTCTTTCATGTAGCTATTTATGTGCACCTTTCTTTATATATTTCATTTTTGTGTAAGGGAAGGGGGCACTTTGATTCTTTTTTGGTAGGGATAAGCATCCACGACATCGAGTACCCTGCCCTTTTAATATATTTAAATTAAAAAAAAACATACCAATTAAACTTTTTGCCTATAAGTATAGCCTTCATGAATATGTTATTTCCTAGAGAGCTAAATATATGTGACATACATGTATATCTGATCATGATGCATTTGCACAGGGTGTTACACTTATTTTTGACAAATAATAAATCTGATTAATTTCATACTATTATGATATAATCAACAATTCAATCAAATACCTTTTCTAAATTTTTGCCATGTCCTTTTTATTATATATTATCAACCTTGAAAAAATTAATTCCACAAACTCCTCCATACAACTCATTGCAAATAAGACACCTCCTTTCCCCACTCCCATTGAGCCTTTCACAAAACAGTTTTTATAAAGATTTCGGGAGTTTGCATGGTAAAGCATGACAAAAACCATTTCCGCAATTGTAATTTGTAATTTTTAACATATCTCTCATATGCAGACTTCATTTCACATGTTTTAATTGATAAGTTTAGTGATTCCACCATTGATTACCATAATCTGTGAAGGGGTCTCCATACATTTCGTTTATCTTTTGTAAACATTAACAAACATAAATTTGTCTATCATGCATATATTGTTGCATCTGGGTTGGAAAAACAAATGCGGAGTCATAGCTTTTAGGTCATAAGGTTCTGCAGCTACGATGAAAGTTGCAAAGATTGAAAAAAATAGTTATCATACCCTCAAAATGGTAAGGGGTGTAAGTTAAAAGGAATTTTTTTCTTAAACTTTGCACAAATGATCCCTACATTATATGCTGTACTTATAAATCTATTGAAAAAATAGTAAGGGGTTACCGGTTACCGGCTATTAAAGAAATTTATGAGTTCCTGAAAAAATCTATGTTTAAATTGTTTTGAAAAAAGATTCATTGGGAGAATTACTCTTTTTTTCTCTACCAGTCATATTTTTAGAAGAAATGAATGGTAGACATTTCTCATGTATTATGCGAATATTTGTTTCACTTGTAAATAATTGCAGCCAACATTGATTCAAATGTCTCTATATGATGCTTTGCCACAACATAAACAATGCAGTGTCTGGATTTTCTAAATTAGTCACATAAGGTTCCTAACTTATACACACCCATTGTGCATATGCATTTAAATGTAGAAATAGCACAAACTTTCACTTCCCATGATGTACACAAATGTATATTAATATGTTTTTCAATATTTTTATGAATTCTGTATATTGGCCTTTATTGACTGGTTTACCACCTGATTTTTCAGTTGCTACACTGTCAAATCGGCTATGTTATACGTCAAAAGCACACTCATGATGTGAAGAAAACAATATATGTACCAAATAACATGTTGCCATTTAGGGTAAAATATAACTTTTATTATATAAGAACGGTTTGTCAATCTGAACAGTTTTAGTAATTTCCCGAAAAGAAGCCTTATAACCATAAACATTTAACCAGAGGTTTTCCTGCTTGGAAGTAAAATGTTTTGTTTTTCCCTGAACATTCTGCAGAATCATATAGGAGGGTGTGGATGGGTTTTAAAGAACAGAGACTAATGTGCAGAATAAATGACGACAATAGACAAAACAATAAGAAAAATAACGTGTTAAACTATCAGAAATTCAGAAAAAATGAGAAAAATAAATAAAGAATAGAGAAAAGTGGTAAAACAAATTAGAAACGAAAAAAATGAAGGATCCTCCATCCAGACCCTTTATTTCTAAAAATAATTTGTATAGCCTATTCAGAGAAAGGGAACGTTCTAAACTTAAACAGTGTTCATACTAAATCAAAAATGGCTGGACTAATTGGTGCTTCCATAAAATATGTTTTAATAAGTTCAGGTTTTTGGCCAAATACATGTAAAATTCATTTTGTAATTAGTACATAAAATATCTATGAAATGACCCAGTATTTAGGATCGGGGCGAAATCCCCCGCATCAAATATTCCAGGTTTGCAACAACATGAACAAGAAAAAACAAAATTTATATTTGCAATAACTCCTATGTTCATTACCTTTTTCCCGATCAAATATCAAATGAAATTTGGTGTTCCCCTTTAGACACACCTGAACTCTCCGGTACACAAATTTTCAAATTTTTATCACATGTAGAGAAGTACAAATGAGCTATGGCTATATTTCATACTAACGGGGTCAATGATTTTTTGTTGTGAAATCATTTCTGCTAATGCTACGCTTGCAAATTATTTATTGAGGGTTATGTATCGATCTATTCAGCACTTGTTTTCAATTCAAATGATTAGCAGACGATATAAAATTATAACTTCACAGTATTTCCCGTTTTGTTAAAAGCCAGCTTACGCATATTTGCAGATCGTTTTCTAGTGTAAGTGTGAAAATGCTTCATATGCTACCAAAAGAAGGATCGTTTTCTATAATTTTCTATCTGTCATACAGTTTTCATGAAAAGCAGATCACGTGTTCGATTATCATGAATTGACTTGTTTTTTTTTCTCTTCTCCAACGTCAAGAATATGCTTTATGTTGTTAAAAACGGAAGTGCATTTGCAACAATGAAAATTGCAACAATAAACTTTATAAATTTGTGAAATTGCAGTTTTCTATTTTTCAACTCTTCCTAAATGTATTCAAATAAAATTGATTATTTTGATACAAAAAATGTATTGCAAAAGCTAATTACGACAATAAGCATGACTTACGATATAAATGCGCAAACACCTGCGTAAACGGCGTGGAAATTCAAACCACCCAACTACATTAACCTAAACATTGCTTGTTAAGAAATCTAATTCAGTTAACTCTCTATGTTCGAACGTCTATATAAGGTTTTAAGATAAATGTTTTTTTTTATAGATCACTTGCCTTGGCCTAGCAATAATTTTTATGAAAAATACTTATACGAAAACCTAGTGATTACAGTTGGAACTGAAATTGATATCCGTACTAGACAGAGGTTTTTCATTATTGTGGATATTATCGAAAATGAGTGTCCAACAGATGGTGAGTATATTTCAAGTGGAAGTTTAGCAGAAGGGCTAGATCTACAAGGCAGTGACGTAGATATCATGATGGTTGTGGACGGCGTCGATGTGGTACGGAATGTAAGGAATATTAAACACCAAACGAATGCTCTAGTTATGGAGACTGATTCTGATTATCCTGGGTTTAGTAGACTCAGGTTGATAGCAGAAGATGAGGAAAATATCTATATACCATCTGAATGTTTTGAAAGTACACCAGAAGGTGTATATGTATCAGTAAATGGTTTTATTGATTGGATTAAGGCATGGCAATTGCAACAGCTATATAGACACGGCCCGTGTCTATCAGACAAGGATCAGCAAATAGATTTGGCTTTTTGTTTGAAAAGTAAATATTTCCCATATCAAGCAATTCCATGGACAATCCGTCACAGATACCAATGGCCACCGGATAATGTAGTTGACAGGATTGCAAACTACGGATGTTTGATAGTACCTATAGGACCAAGGACTCTTTCAGATAGTCACTTGTTATGGAGAATATCTTTTTCTGTGGCAGAAAAGCAACTTGTTCATTCGTTTAATTTTACTCAACTCTTATGTTATGGTCTTCTAAAACTAACATTAAAGAGTATCATTAACACAAACGATGATGTCAAAGATTTACTGTGCTCTTACTTTCTGAAGACGGCTTTATTTTGGGTCTCAGAGGAAGTGGATATTAACACATTTCAATTATCTCATCTTTTTATTTGTTTTACTCACTGCATTAAAAAATTAATAGTATGGGTAAACAACTGTTACTGTCCAAACTATTTTATACCCGAGCACAACATGTTCCTAGGAAAGATCACCCCGGATAATAATGAAACACTACTACATGTACTGGATAGCATATTATTCTATGGAATTGATGGATTGATAGATAATTTATTTCCACTTGGAAGTACAAATAGTGATATTTCGTTCATTAGGTTAGACTTCCTTTTTTACAAGATTTCTGTGTTAGCGAAGAAAAGAGACATTTCAAATTGGTACAAATTACTTAAGATTACTGAATTTTTAATAAAGTCAGAGTCGTCTGCATTTATCATCGATGTTTGTAAATACCATTTTGCTAAAATAAGTCAATTTGTAGCACAACTACTTCTACCACAAACCACAAATAGTGAAAAGTACTATTTACACAAATGTCATCATCGACATTTACAAGATGGAATTAAGTCAGATGCAGTGTCGGGTTGGTTGCTATACGCATCCTTTTATTATGTCACTGGACAGTACAAGGTGACACTTAGAATAACGGATTATGTTTTATCAAGAAGTACACCTGATATGGTATATATAACTTGTTCTCACTATGATGAAAACGATATAAAAAATTACCGACAAAATGTACATAAATCACTAAACTTGAATGCCAAGATAAAGATGGCCACGGTAGACCGTACTGTGTACATGCACAATTCAAAACTAATACCAGAAGAACTACAATTGGAAGTTGAAAAAGATGGGATAAGTGTATCCCCTGTTATTATGTCTCGCTTTCTTAGACTTTTATGTTATCATCATTTAGGTGATATATTAAAAAGACAACAGGCACTACGTGATTTATATTTGACCGTAGAAAATTGCCCTTTAACAAAATTGGAAGAAATATCTCATTCAATAACAATACTTGGAGTGGGTTATGAGGTTTCAGGTGACAAGTACACAGCTTATCAATGTTATGATGAAGCTTTGCAATGTGATGATTCAATATGTCTTTCAGCACAAACAAGGAAATCAAAACTTTTTGAGGTTTAGTATAAGCTTAGTCGTTGTCGAGAAGGTCTTATAGAACCTCGCCACTTAAGGTCTGTTGTTTTCCTATTTACTTTAGTACAATATGATAAAGCCAATTCATTTCCTACTAGATTTTTGGTACGTACTATGTTTTTACACCATAGCTTTTTATAGCACAGAATGAAGGCTTATATATTTTCTGTTGCCTATTCATATACTGTTTTTATTTCTATATAAAACAACAATGTGCAATAAGTCTTGAATTTCACAAATATATGTTTCTTTGTTTTTGTTCACTTTACGTCTTTAGTGGCTAAATAACATGACAGTTTTACGATTGTGGCGTTCTCGCAACATATATGATTGGAAACGGTATATTTTATGTTAGAGTTAATGACACATATACGTTTACTACTTCAACCTGCATATATTTTGCACTTATAGTGTTGTTCGTTTACTATAAATGTTTCTGTCTTGTTGTGGTGGCGTGTAATTTATATTGAACATTAATACTGTGTTTGCAATCTACATTCTGATTTTTTTAATACCTCAGTGGTTGTTTACGCTCAAAAAGGATGCATGAACTATTCTTTACTTCTAAATGTATACCTTGTCTGAAAATCGAAGGAAAAGAAAAGAACACTTTATTAATTTTATTTGCCTTTCTAGCTGAAACCTTCATCAGGAAGGTTCAGAATCAACTTTATGAAGGCCGGGAATGTGAAGGTGCCGAGACACGTAAATAACAATCGTTAAACATATCGATATCAAAAGCGCATGTAAAAGCATATGTTGTAGAAAGACAAACAAAAAGTAAGTCAGAAATAGAAATAGAAATCATGGAAATGTGGAGCAAAAAAAAAAAAAAAAAAAAAAAAAAAACACACAAACATTCGAAAAAAAATGCATAACCCAACTTTTCATTTCTATGTTTATTTAGAAAAGATATGTATCTCATTTTAATTCAGTGGTACACTCACTATTTTAGTTTAGATTGCCTGCTTACTTTTAACGAATATATCTGTTGCTTTTTTTATCTGTTTGCAATCGTTCAAAGTAAATGCTTAATGTGTATGATTTATTATCAATTTTTATAAAAGCAAACACAACACATGTCTTTCCATAATTTTGACCAAAATGATTTTTTTAAATAATATGTTACTTTTATTTTGAATAATTTACATGAATTGACATTTATTTATCGTGTCTCAATAATTTTCTATTGGCATTTCGCCATTCATTTGTCCATAGTATATTTCTGTCAGTTTTCATAATTATACATATAAAAGGATAACGAGCTTGTCAACCACCAACAAACCGACTCCTCCTAAATGTTACAGGTCCTAAAAAAGGAAGACAAGCAATAACGCACAAACACAAGGTCTAGATTCATATAGCCTAAACTCTCATAAAATAAATGTGGTAGAGTTAAACAGTGTTTACAAGCATATAAAGGCTGTTTTGGCCTCTCAAGATAGATGTGCTGTTGTTAAGTAAAACATAAAATCATATTACAAAATATTGCTTAATACATGTATATAGTGTTGTTATAACTTTCGACTACATACATGAAATGTTGATACTGAAAAAATGAAGTTTAGTGTTCATGCTTTATCCAGAGCTTCTGCACCAAAGAAAAGGTAGGATTTTGATGTCTGAAAAGACCAATTTTTGTCTGAATTTGCCAGAATTTTTACTCGACATTCTTTCTTTGTCTGAATTATTTAAAAAAGTTCTTAACATAGTATAAATTTGTCTAATAAGTGTCTTGACAGTATTAACATTGTCTAAAAATTTCTCGACCCTTTTGTTTCATCTGATAAAAGAGGGACGAAAGATACCAGAGGGACAGTCAAACTTATAGATCGAAAACAAACTGACAACGTCATGGCCAAAAATAAAAAGACAAACAGACAAATAATAGTACAGATGACACAACATAGAAAACTAAAGACTAAGCAACACGAACCCCACCAAAAACTGGGAGTGATCTCAGGTGCTCCGGAAGGGTAAGCAGATCCTGCTCCACATGTGGCACCCGTCGAGTTGTTTATGTTATTAAGATAAGAGTCTTGATTAGTCTCGACCAATTCCTGATTGTCTGAAATTTGTCTCGATTAGTCTTGACATATTCCTGACATTCTTAATAATGTCTGAATATGTCTTGACACATTATTGACGGTCTTAAAGATGTATTGACACTATCTCAACAGTATAAATTTCGCCTGAATTGTGTATAGACATATTCCGCACTGTTTTAATAAACACTTTATTTTGCTGTTATATACTCATTTTAATTATTGCTATACTGAACTTAAAAGAATCAAGAATTTGTATAGTAAGATACCCTATTGGTGCCCCTGAGTGGGAGTACCCCAAATGACTTCCATGTAGTATAATTTTGATTTAGTTTTTATTTAACGTTTAGATTTTTTCGTTCGGGACAAAGAATTTGTTTCCATCTTGATTCAAAAACTTATTTATTTTTTTTAGAACCAGAAACTTTTTTATTCAAAATTGAGTGTTGTATTTCATAATTTTATATCAGCACTAAATATTTCAATATATTATTCCTTTCTGATTTTTTTCTCAAGAAATCATAGAACAAAATATGTTTAGATCTTAATTATGCATGTTTGTGTGAGATCCATATCCATAGAAATCATTGATGGGACCCTTTAAATATAGTTTTCTATTATTCCCGGAGTAGATAATAATTTTCGTTTAATCTTTGGGAAATTCTCCGATTTGTTTTTGTGTTAAATTATTTCACTTCATAATTTTGATGAAAAAAAACCTTTTTAGTTTTAAAAATTTTAATTAAAATGAAGATTTTCATTTGGATTTAAGGACAAACTTTTAAAATTGTAGTGGCATGGTCAGTCAACTGATAAGTTGCATGGCTGATTACAGCAAAGGATTTGTATAGTAAGATCTTACTATATACAAAATGATTACAGGTAAGCAGTAATTTTCAATATGACAGTCGCGTGTACCCTGGGTGTGTATAACTAATTTGGAATACCTGGGGAACATCCTGTCCACTTGTAATACCTAATATGCATTGCAACAGATGACATTACACAAATTTTCTTCGGTTAAATCAAGGATTTGTATATATAGTATGACTATACAAATCATTGGAAGAATTAGGATACAATAATACTTTGGTATTTATAAAAACCACATTTTGGTACAATAATTGTTTATTTACCATATTAACATTGAATATCATGCATGTGGATTGAAATATGTCTACAGTATGATTGGTTTAATCATTTAGCAATTATTTATAAGATTTAGGAATCAACATTTGTAATTATTTACAAACCACATTTAAATTGGTTTATATCAACATACCCACATTTGTATTGTTAATACTTTAAATTTCATAGCCATATTTGTATTTATAAAAATACTTAATACCCAAATGTTTAATTATTTTATATGTACATGCCCAACTTTGGTTTTTTGTTGTAATAAGTGTAACTTGAAACAACAGTATATTATTTGAAGAGATATAAAGATAAAGTTATATCATGTATATTGGTCATGATTTATAAAACTCAGTATTGTCAAGTAAATTTAGACACAATTCAAAATGTTCAGAATATGTCAAGCCATACTGAGTAAAAATAAGAATGTCGAGAATCTGTCGGGAAATTTCAAGACAGTATTCAAATGTCAAGAATTTGTCAAGAAATTTTAAGACCATATTCAGAATGCCGAGAATTTGTCGAGGAAATTTCATACAAATTTAATATAAATCAGAATTTGTCAAGAAAAAATTAAGACACAAGTCATACTTTTGGAGAATGTCGAGTAATTGTTCAAGCAAATTAAGACAAACATTGGTCTTTTCAGACTTTTTGACTTTTGTAGTGTATGCTTTTGCTTTTCGATTACATTAAATTAGCTCCGGAAAAAAAAAACGATCACCAGATACAATAGAAAAATGAGGAGCAATGAGAACTCACAACCTCGAAAGGTAAATGACCCTACAAGTGCACTGGAATAAAATATGTCAAAATTGAATTGATATACATACAATAGTATTAACGTTGTACCTAAAAGAAACTCAATATTTCAATGCTGCAAAGACTAAAAAATTCAAACCTACAAACATACAAATTACTCTAAAGAAGAGGCCAACAAAAACATGTTGAAGATAGGAAATATTAAATTTGACAATGACTTTAAAAAAAAGTTTTTGTCATTGATATTATATACCGTAAATAAAATATGCACTTTCTCAATACACAGAAAATTAAGTAATTATAAATGTAAGGGTACACAAAGTTGAAACAACACTGCAAAGTCCCTCTGTGTCCGAATCGCACATCAGGACCCACGTACATCATGAACATGATTGTTGATCAAAGTTAAAACGTCAAAACCCCGATGACGAGATGTATCAAAACAAGTCACGTCAAAAGTCATACGATAAAACAAATATACTATAACGGAAAGAAATAACGGGGAAACTAAAGTATCATGATAGAAAGGTACATTAATTCAGCACATAGAATCTATAACTTAAGACCATCTTGTATTATTTGTGTAGGAGACATTGGAAATGTATCTGTTAGGTTTTAGTATATGAACCTTTCTTTGTTAAAAAAAATATCGATAGATATGTGCAGATTTATATTAAAAAAGAAGCAAATGCCTCAAGGAAAATACTATAAAAGTAGTCTTCTATACTTTTTAGCTCACCTGGCCAAATGGGCCAAGTGAGGTTTTCTCATCGCTTGGCGTCCGTCGTCCGTCGTCGTCGTCCGTTAACTTTAACAAAAGTTTTCTCCTCTGAAACTGCTATGCCAAATTTAACAAAACTTGGCCATAATCATCATTAAGGTATCTAGTTTAAACATGTGTCCGATGACTCCGCCTGCAAAATAACACGGCCGACATGGCTATCAATAGAACAAAGGTGTAAAATGCAGTTTTTGGCTTATATCTTTCAAAATTAAGCATTTAGAGCAAATCTGACTGGGTTAAAATGTTCATGTTTATTTGTATTTGCAAACGTTTCGTTTGCAATCTCAATCCGACTGCGAACATGATAAAATGTATCTAGGCAGGTGTTGCAAAACACACAAACACTGAGAATCGTATGAACTCATAGCAACGATAGCGGGTACGTCGAA